ATTAGATGCTTCAAAAAGAAAATGTTGATATTTCTGGATGCTTGGTAATTTCTTAAAATAAATTCCCAAAATAGCTTCAATATCTAAATATTGAAATCCTTTTCCACCTTCATAACACTGTGCTTTATTTAATCCAGCTGGACTAGACTTTTTTACCACCTCAACCACATGATCCAGACAATCTACTCTGGTTTTTCTGTAGAGTTTTTTAATCAAGCCAAAACTACCATCACATTTGAATTTAGTATGTCCAGGAACCATGAGGTTTAGTTCAACATTTTCATAATAACCACAAGTTACCAAATATAAATAAAACCAAACAGTTACATTATTTTTATTTTGCCTCCCAGCATTATCACAAGTAATCTTTAAATGCTTTTCCCCTTTATTCAATTTTTTAATTCCATCAAAAATCATACTAAGAGTTCCATTAGGTCCTTTTCCTATAATTTCATTTTCATTAAGAACATAATTAATTTGCTCCCTTACTGCTTCATCTTGAATACCAAATAAATGATTCGTGTCTGTCCTACCAAAAAAAAAACCAATAGGATAAATAATTAGTGTGTACGCGTCAATTGTATAACAAAACTTTTATTTTTAAAAATATGTCTTCCAGAGGATCGAATAAAAGAAGCAAAAACCAAGAAATAACCGGAAGAGAAAGGTAAGTGTTTTAAGGATGGTGGTGGTGGTTATCGCCTGCCACTCGTTGTCACTCTAGTTTTAAACATTAATATTTTTGTGTAATAATTTTCCCAAAAAATAGAAGACAATTAGAAGGAGGAGATCATGGTAAGTGTTATTATTATTAAAAGAATGATGGTGTAATGGTTATGCATTGCAACTCATTATTATGATGATATAGGTAATAAAAAACTATTGATTTTGTTTAACTTTCTTTCACATTACCTTTGAAAAAAATGCATTAGATGATGACTTGGAGTTTACTGACAATTTGGCTGGTCAAAAGCGTAAAACAGATATATTATCATTTTTAAATGAGGTTAAGACATAATTTAAAGTTGCCTTGTATAAAAATGGTGCCTTGAATTTTATAGTGGGCATTTTTAGTAACATTATGTTGTACCTACAGAATGAAGAAAATGTTGTAGAGGATATGAATGGTTTAAAAAAGATCAGAACTACCAGTAATGAAGTTGAAGATTCACAAATAATCAGTTTTACATTTAGAAATCAAGACTTGTTTATTCAATTAAATGAAGAAAAACAACGTGCTAAATCCACAATGTAAATAAACATGCCTACTAAAGTTATTTTGCATTCCTAGATTGTAGTATTAACTGATCATTGTCTTTATTCATATTACAGAGAACTGATATGTTCAAATATAATAGACACAACAAATAAACTTTTAATAGAAAGATTAGGAATCAAATGTAACTATATTTTGGCCCTGTCATTAATGATGTCACAAAATATATTGATGAATTAATTGATAAAATATGTTTAAAATTTTGGCAGTAGTAATTTCCTTTTTCTTTATAATACTGTAAAGTCTGGAAAGATAGCACCCCCTACTTTAAAACAATTGAGCATCAATATAAAAAAAATGTTACACATATGTAAAAAGGGGATGCTATCTTTCCAGACTTTACAGTAACTATCAATTTTATTATTAGTCTGATACTTGTAATGATTTTCGCAAAAAACTTCAACTTCTGTTTGTGCCACAAGGTGAAGCATATTCATTTAATAAGCATTATGAAATACATTGGGTCCATCATTTTGCTGACAAATTGTAAGTTAAATCTATTTAGTTCTCATTTCTATAGATATCTTGTTTATACATTAAGAACTATTTCATAATAAATCACCTTATTATCTAGGTCATTGTTTTTGAAGCTCCTCAAAATCTACTTTTAGATAAAACTCTGAAGGTTGGTTAAATTGTCATCTCTTGGCTCCCTTGATCGATGACTGTTTTTTAGCATGCGAAGAAATCCGAATTCATTGGTCAGTATGAAATTTACTAGTAAATTTAATGTGATGGTTGATTTCTTAGCTTTGAGTCTCAATATTTATCTAATTATTTCCACTGCCATTTAGATGCGAAGAGGTGTCATTAGCATCCATTGAATGTAAGAATTTATCAAGAGAAGAGTCAGCAAAAAAAAAATTTGGTCACAAAATTGATATCCTTTTTTGTATTGATAATATGGAATATTTTGGTGCAGAAATGTATGTTGATGAAGATCCTCAAAACTCCATGCCAATTTCTTATAAACAAAAACTTTTTCGTGAGATGAAAGATCAATTAGATCGGCTCCTTAAGAAGTTAGAATTTACAAAGGAAACAACTAAAGAAATAAAGAATATTGTTGCACATGGGTTGACACATGGGGGTAACTATAAGCATTGAAGAAAATTCATGTGTCAAATGTTTTTCATCTTAGTACAAAGTAGCTGAAACTCATCCTTTAAATTCAATAAAGGTCTTAATGGGAAATTATATGCAATGTTTTATGATATTGATATTGAACATTATTTAGTCTTTGAATTATGTCACTATTGAATTGGTACCATGTGGGATAGTGTTCCAGAAAGCCTCGCAGTTTTAAAAAATATACTGTGTTTAAAGGTATGCAGTTGTAAATTGTCAGTTTACTGGTTGAATTTTTTATAATTGGGTTTTTTATTTCTAATAATTGCAGAACAATATAATCAGTGTTCTTGGTACTGTTAAGAAAATCAAAAAAGTTGCTTTACGCACAAACTCTGAGGATTTGTATACAATTGATAATCTTCCAGAGACAACACCATCACCAAAAAAGAAAACCAAGGATAATATAGTTTAACAAATACTTGCTATTGAACTTTATTGAATTATCCAAAATAAATTGATTAAATATCAGTGTCATCAATAGGATAATGGCAACAAAAAAAGTTTGTATATATAATTTAGATTGTTTTCTTAAATAAATTAAATGATGAAAGGTCAGAATTAAATTTCTTTATCAGTGGCGCAAATGATAAAATGAATTGATTAGAATTATTATCACAATTACACTAAATTTTAAACCTGCAATGTACGTGATATAATGTTCACTTTGTCTGGTTTTGTTGCAGCATGCCCCATATATATCATTATACAGTATTTATTTGGAATTGATGTCTAATAGTTATTATTATAGATTAATTGAAAATAATAAAAACATAAAGATAAAAGACAATGGAAACAAAGTTGTTAAAATAATGATAGTATTATTTAGTAATAATGATAAAAAAAAAGGTATAGTAAAAGGTAAATTTCTTTGAGCAAAACCAATACCAGTTTGTAAAAAAATAATTGCATGACAAAATAAATATACATAATGCATTAAAAAACTATCAAACTGCAAGAACCAAATGAACTTATATCATGAATATAGAAAGAAAATAAATTACAAATTTTTTATTTTACCATTTTTGTCAATTAATAATATTCACTTGAAGAAAAACAATTTCTTCTCTGTTAATATTGGTATTAAGCAAAATGAAAATTCACTAATTTATCAATATTATTATTAACTTCCATGATTTTTTGAATCCTTTCTTCCTATTAGTATTGGTATTAAGCAACATGAAAATTGATCAGTTTAAACAATATATTCAATTAATTTATTATTGCAAACTAGATAGAATTCATTATTTATTTTAATTATAGAAGTACATCAGGTATTTTTATAGTAACATTCAAATATTAATATAAATTAAAGAATAATTACAGTATCCATTGGATAAAAGATGCATATTAAAAAAATGCTTAGAGGTTATTATTATTTTTAATTCGTGATCCATGATAGAAGTGCATACTGCGCCACGTTTTCTGAAATCCAGGGTTGCTAAGTAGCAAAGTCAAAAACTTGTAAAGAAAACAATAATAAAAAATATGTCAAAATAATGGTTGAGATTTTTTGCATCATATTATTTAATATTCTGTGTAATATTTATCATGTGTGCTGGTAGAAAAAATTTGGAAGTTGGTCAATTGTAACCATTTGATAATGATGATCCCCCACAATTTACTAATTAATTTTCAGAATTTTACCTACTTCTATCACGTATCACGAATTAATTTTAATAATCGTGGATATCATAATTGTGTAATTTTATGATATTAGATAGAAGAAAATTTGGTGGAAAAATACATAATAATGAAGTCATCTAATGATCTGCAACTAATAAATTGATTTCTTGCATTTTCGTGTCGCGACTGTTTACCCCCAAAATAAAACAAATTCGTTGCTCTTTGCAAGATGTTTATTGCACAAGATTATTTTGACGAGAATACAGTGTGGAGTTTGTTTGGTTACTTAAAACATCGAGAACACAGTGAAGACTTCTCAGCAGATAAAGGAATTGAACAATAGAAATTATCAAAAGGATCTTGAATACATATGTAAACTCAATAAGTTGGTCACTCGATAAGTCGGTTTACTCGATAAGTCGGCCAAAATTTTCACCCCATTTTCTTAATATTTAAGTAATTTAATTCGATAAGTCGGTTTACTCGATAAGTCGGTCATATGAGCTCACCCCCACATGACCGACTTATCGAGTTTACATATGTATATCCTTTTGAATAAAAAGTCTGAAGATTATCGTGAACAAGCAGCAAAGTGCCTAAATATTTTTCAGGTAAATGTTATGTAATATAAATATTTGGAGATTCCATGTTGGCATTCACATAACTAAGCTGACTCCGTCTTGGCTTGGTGAGTGTGGACTCCGCCTTCCTGTGGATGTCAAGATTTATTCTGGTTTCATGGCGCAACTGGATAGCTCCGTCCTGTCTGGTTGTCAAAGCTCCGTCCTTAGCCATGCGATTACATGGAAACTCCTGGTTATGACATAGTTAAAAATCGTTTTATTATGCCTTAATTTGTTTGCTATTGTCCAAAACTAATATTTTTTTACATTCATTCCATGTATATATATTATGAGAATAAAAAATCTTCCGAAAGGGTAGACGCTTTCTGGGCAGAAATTAAACATAAAGAACGAATGGTATGTAAAAAAGGTAGTGAATTTCCATGTAGTTATTTTATATTCAGACTATTAACAACATTTAATAGTCAAAATACTCTAGTCGTGTTTTGAATGTTGCGATTTCTGACAGAGAGCAAGGACAAGAAGTTATACATATGTAAACTCGATAAGTCGGTCATGTGGGGGTGAGCTCATATGACCGACTTATCGAGTAAACCGACTTATCGAATTAAATTACTTAAATATTAAGAAAATGGGGTGAAAATTTTGGCCGACTTATCGAGTAAACCGACTTATCGAGTGACCAACTTATCGAGTTTACATATGTATTGACTGAATTTACTGAGATTATAAAGCGAAGATATGACAGTAAAGATAAAATTGGGAACAAAAACGAAATCCTGTAAGTTTCTCATTTAAAATAACTGACCATTTTCTAAATGTGTTTAGTATAAGTGTAATTAAGATTTAAGGAAATATGCTTCATTTTTTATTGCTATTTTAGAATAATGATTTGATAAACTCTGTTGTAACTGATGTTATACCAAATGATGAAAATGATGATATCACAATAAACAAGTAAGCCTTTATGCTTTATGTTTAATAATACTGTTCATTCATTATTTATTGACTTCACGTTGTTTGTTTAGCAATATTTCTGATGAAATAGTAGATTTAACAAAGATAATGGAAAATGATAATGTTTTCGAATTTGATTTAGGTGAATTTAATTCAAATTTTAATGTATGTACATAATATTTCTTGAAGTAGATATTAATTAATCATTTAAATACTAAGCAATGTACAATATTCTGAATATATAGCAATCAGATGTACAAAATGCTCATAAAGAATGGTTTAGACTAATTCACAAAGTGGCTTTGATGTCTCCTGATGATAGTAATTACCAACGTTGGATATATGCTGCTAATGTTATTAACATTTAGTATGAACAATTTTTTATTATTATTATTATTTTCCAAGATAATTTCCTGATTTTTATAATTCTTTTGCTTTATATAGCTTAACAGAGTTTGAAACAGTATGTCAACGTATGCAAGATATGGATTACCAGAATCTATGTACAATGGTACATTTATTGATCCAATAATCGGAGGTGCAATTCAAAGAAACCATATCTTAAATTACAAATGGTATATTTACATGTTCTATCTTCACATCTCCTTTTTTTGTAATTATTATTAATAATAAACCAATATACTAAAATTAGGGGTGAAATAGAAATTCGAAGTTCATCTGAATGAAAAAATGAAGGAAAGGATTTATTGACAACAGTTAAGGAGACTGGTCATAAAGCAGATGGTGTAGAACTTTTTAATCAAGTGTTTCAGATGTTTGCTTATTTATTAAGCTTTAAAATTAATTGATGCGCGTTAACGGTAAATAAATAATTGGTAACCTATTAAATGTTTACTAATAAATCAACAATCAACCAAACAACCAACCAATCTTACTATTATTAAAATCAAATCAATAAAAAGCCATTAACTACTAATCACTCAAACCAAATTTTTTATTAATTATTCTAATCTATGTATATATAAATATTCTTTTGTTATGTCCACTTATCAAGACAAAAAATGTTGAAAAAAAAATTAAAAAAAAATCTATTAATTCAATTTGTTATTATATTTATCTTGCACCTAATATTTTTTCCCCAAGAAAATGACTTGAAGCTTATCGTAACTATCAAAAAAAAATTTTTTTTATTATTTTAATATATAATCAATTGTTAAGCCTTTTTATTTTTACAACAAAATATGATTGATTATCTTTACTTACCCAGCTAACACACCAGCACCAGCAATAGCACGAAGAATATTAGCACCAGCACCTTTGAACAAAGATTTTGTACCTTCTTTGGTAACAATTTCTTTAAATGCGTGTAATGAAGATTTATATTTGACAGCTTCACCAGATGTCATCATCATCCTACGTCTTACAGTATCTATAGGATAACTTGCAAGGCCTGCACCAATAGTTACACACCATCCAAGTAAGAATCTAGTCTCAGATTGTAATTGCAAATACATGAATGAACGAATGAATAAAAGATTGATTGATTGTGATAATAATATCATTGAAGACAATGACAGCAACGAATAATAATATGATACTTACGACCCCAGAAGACTGTCCTTGATTGCACCAGTTAAAACAATAGGTTTCAGAGAATCATACATACCAAAGTAAAGGCCTCTATAAATTATAATGCCTAAATTATAATAATTCATTATCAACAAGATGAAATAGTGAGCTTGGATTATTCAACAGAATATGCATTTATGTATGTATGCATGTTTGATCCAAACTTTATTCAAACTTACCAACACATGAAATATTGAAACCTAAATAAATAAATTAATGATTTTTGATTATTTAATTGAATAATAATAATTCCACAACCAAAATCATAATCATGTTTATTACCTCTATAAAGGCCAACAACACCATCTGATTTGATGGTTTTGCGATAAACGTCAACAAGACCATTGAATTGACGTTCGCCACCTTTCTTGGCAGCTTTTGCATCATTAGCAAGACGAGTACGAGCATAATCAAGTGAGTAGACAAAAGTCAAAGATACAGCACCAGCAGCACCGCCAGATGCAATGTTACCAAGGAAAACCTTAGCATAGCCATCTTTATCCTTTTTATAATTGAACATTTTTTTGAATTTATCTTTGAAAGCAAAATTTAATGCTTGTGTTGGAAAATATCTAATGACATTTGCTGTATTACCACGCCAAAGTGATAAAATTCCTTCGTTTTTAATTGTCCTGGTAAAACACTCGCCAATTCCTTTATAAGGTGTTGAAAGACGACCAGCTTTGATCATCTCATCTTGATTCTGAATAAGAAGTTTTACACGTTCAATGGGTGCTGCTGCTGTTTTAGAAACGGCTGCTGAAACGCCACCCATCAAAAAGTCAACCACAAAAGACTTTCCTTGTTCTGACATGATTTTTTTTTTTTAATAAAAAGATTTGAAGAGAGTGGGGAGTGGTTTAAATATAAATTTAATTAATTAGTTATAAAAATGGAAGAAAAAATGTACGTGTTAAATTAAACAGAATAAAAAAATTTTAATTGGTTGATTGTTATAATTCAAATTCTGCGCCAAATATTTCGCATAACGATCATCAAATGTATTTTTTCCTTTCAAGAAAATCAAATTGTTTCCTTCTAAATATTTTTCTAATGCCAGTCAGTATATTAATATATATCAATGTCGGAAATCAATCAAACGAAAAGCTGTAATGGTGAAATAGAGATTCCCGTTAAAAAAACTAACAAATAAATAAATAAATAAATTTTTTTTTGATAAAAAAAAAGATACCATATGCAGTATTATCTAAAAATGCTGCTAAAAGGAAAGGAGATGAAGATATAAAAAAAGACATCTCCGCTTATCATACGGGCTTTATATTTATTTTTAGAAAAATGCAAAATTTGACATGGTACTGACCATTATGTTCTTTAAATTAACTTTCCAAAAGTTCATGCAGTCAAGGCTGTTCAAGAAAAAGGTATAAGATATGAACGATGCACAGTCAAAATTTGACTGGAAGGATTTTTAAGATAATTAATACAAATTCTGCAAAAAATCACAGATTATAAAAGGCTCAAATGATATTTATCAAATACCTGGCTGAATTCATGAAAAGGGCGTGGGGCAATTTACGTAAAACCATCGAAAACTGATAAAATGAATTGAAAGAATTCCGCGAAAGTTTTAAATTAAATTGATGACATCGTTTACTTTTTAATTGGTTTGATTTTATTAATTAATAACTTGAATATTTAAAATATTTTGTTGAGCACAAGAAAAGAGGAAATAGAAACAATAGAAATAAACAAAAGCCGTGATGAATAGAATGATTGAAACCATAGAAATAGAAATAGAAATAGACAGTTAAAAAACATAGGAAAAGTGTAACAGAGGAATTGGAAAAAGAAAAGCGAAAACTTAAAATTAAATATTTTTCACGCGTTTGTTTTAAAGCTCGGAGTCAGATTCGGATAGTTGCTGAACCTAACTGAAAATTAAATTGTGTACACTCATTGGACAAAAGTATATCTGGACATCTATTTTCACCAATCTCTCAAAATTCTACATAATAAAAATTATGAACTATATACCCCAGGTTTTGATAATTACCCTTGTAAAATTCAAAACGTCGTTTTTATTACAGTCAAAGCTCGTTAAATTCATAGGTTTGGCACAGCAAATTTTATGAATTTATCGAATTATTCCAATTGTCGAGATTTTGTTATTACTACAAAAGGATAGGATTTCAGAAAAATGAATGGGATTGGCTACTTACTTATTATATGAATTTAAAGAGCGAGATTTCATATACAAAAAGTCAGAGAGTTACATATTTGATCTTGAGAACCTAAGCTAAAAACCGATATAAAGTTTTTTTCTTTAATTTGTGCCTGGATGCCGAAACCTAGGTTACATATCGATACAAAGTTCATAATTTTTATTATGTGGAGTTTTGAGGGATTAGTGAAAAATAGATGTCCATGTCCAGTGAGTGTAGTTATGTATGTGATACTGGTTTTTTGATTTTTGATTTTGAAATTTATGATATGTAAAAAAAACAAAATCATGTCGTGTTCGAGTTTATCTGAGTTCAGAGCTGGAAAAAATCCAGGCCTTCCCCTAAATTTTATTATTATTATATAATTAATATATTATACCTCCGAGAATTATAAATTTATCATCCCGGAAAGTTTGAAATTCCCTTTTTTTTTCTAACGTCCCATTTCCGGCCCTATTTATTATATGAACGAGTTGATTTTAACAACTTTATTTAACTCACAAAGCTTTTTAAATACAAAGTTTGCAAAGCGTTCGATGCTTTTATAATTTGAGATTGTAATATATAAACCTTGACTCTTTGAATTAGTAGGCAATATTGATTTTTGCAACAGTTTCCTTTTTTTTTTTTTAATCTTTAAAGTTTACATACATTTATGTGCATGTCAAATAATTCTAAATTTTCGGCCAAGTTCGGGGCTTTGGTTTGTTTATTTACAGGTCAAAGATTCAACCAAGAATTAGAGCAAAGTAAATTTGGTTGACATAATCACAAAATTAAGAACTTATAGAAACCCTTACTATTACCGTTTTTATTTTGAAGAAAAACAATTCCCGTTTAGGACAGAATTAATGAATTAATGCAGATGCTGCAGTTCATTTTAGACACATATTTTTGGCTTAATTTGGTTTATTTATTTTGATATTGTTCCAAAAAAGGGGACTAATATGAAAATGTAACTGTAAATAATAATAAATGTGCATTAGAAAAATATTGATTTTGATAAAATCTAAATTACTCTTGCAAAAGAAATTATTCAGTAATTATTATTAATCTTTTAACAAAGAATTTGTTCGTCATTAGTTCCTTTTTATTAGTGTCACGTGTAGCCTTCCTTCTATAAATACATTCCATAAATGAGAATGCATGGTTTCACCCGGTCTACTTATTGTTAAGAATATCATCAGTAAAAATTACGTGAATTCAATCGTATTTATGCATTTGTACAAAATAAATGGATCAGCAGCACTAAGGTTATTTAATTCGTTCTTTTTATTATTAATAATAAAAATTATTATTTGCATTTTTCATTTCTACATGATTTTCATCCTAATGTATAAAATATGTAACTTTTTTTTATTTTAATAAAATATTGAGAAAAATTAAAAATATTAATTATTTTCTTTTTAATTACAATAGTAGATAGATAGATTATTAGGAAATAAATAATTTAATGCCATGGTAAATTTTAAACCAAACCAACTATTCTAATTCTCAGCAATTTCTATGATTTGAAGTTTATAATCTGACTTTTTATATTTTTTAGATGTTGAAAGTTGATTTGGAAAATAAAGTAAATTTAGAAACTTCAGTGAAAAACAACACTAATAGTATTAATAGTGTTTCAAATACAATCAGAAGATCACTTTCTAATATAGGTTTTGATAATAATAAATCAGAGAACATTAATAACGAAAACAACGAAAACAACAAATCATCATCTTTAAATACCAATTCTATGTTAAATATTCCCAACAATAAATCACAACATAAATTGTCTAAAAAAAAGTCTGATACATTACCATCTCTTAGGATAAAACCTAATCAAAGACCTAAATCAGCACTTCCATTTAACAAGAATAAACCTTCTCAACTAAATACATTAAATCTGTGCATTGATAATACTTTAAAGAATAGTCCAGCTGGTGATCTAATATCACATTCAAAATCAATACCAACAATTGCAAGATCTCCCTCTTCCCCAACTCTTCGCTCAGAATTTTTGAGTATTAAAGGAGATAATAAGGATTTCTCATACCAAAATTCCACTTCGGAATCACTGTCACAACCACCTTCAGAATCGTCTTTGCAATCACCTTCAATTCTACCATCGATCACACTCACAGATCATCATCATCATCCTTCAGTTTCATCACAATCATCTCTTAATTCCTCATCTACAACAAGCTCAACCATCAGTTCATCATCATCACAACCTCCATCTAGTACATCCATCACATCAAATGATACTGATGAATATATACCTTTAGACATTACAGCTTTTTTGGCTGCTCCACGTTTAACACAGCGTGTTAGATTAAAATCAGGAAGAGTTGTTAGTTTTTCTGAAGTTGGTGACAGGAATGGATTTCCAGTGTTTGTTTTTCTTGGGATGGGATGTGTAAGATATTTTATTGCGTTTTTTGATGATTTAGCATCTAGTTATGGCTTGAGATTGTTATGTCCTGATCGACCTGGGGTTGGACTTTCAGATGACGTTAAAGAAAATGAACAACATGTGTTAAAATGGCCAGGTTTGTTTTTAATAATCAATAATTTTTTTACATCTTTTATAATCATATATAGAAAGAATAAAATTTTCATCAATCAATCAATCAATCAATCAATCTATGTGAATATATAATTATTTCCGGTTTAGAAAAGGTCCCCTTATCACATAAATCATCAATATATCATACGCTTTTCCTATATATAAGATATCAATAAATTTTTATAGGCACTTTAGTTTTTTTTAGGACCCTTGAAAACTTCTAATGATGACATTAAATAAATTTTATTATCGTTGTTTTAAGTAATGTTGAATTTTGAGGGTCCTGATCAGGTAAGGTGCCTTGGAAAATATACAAATCCCGATTTATATAAATATCATCCATGCTATTAGAGAGAGAGAGATCTTGGAAAAGCAAATGATATATACGAAAATTAAATGAGATTATATAGTAATGATAGTAGAAAAAATTTATTACATTAGTAATATTACATACGCTAATTTTTTAATATATATAAATATAATAAACTTTTTCTCTAGATGTTATCGAAGAACTTTGTGAGATTCTTGGTATTGATAAATTTTTTATATTGGCACATAGTGCTGGTGCACCACATGCACTCGCATGTGCTATTAAAATACCAGAAAGGCTTCAAGGAACTATTTATCTTGTTTGTCCATGGGTCAGTACAACAATAGCAAATAATTTCAAGTGGCTTAAATATGTACCCACACCTGTAATGAAATTTACAAACACAGCAGGCATTTCCTTACAACAAATGCTTCATGGCAGACAGCCCTACTCAACTAAACCATCACGCCAAAGGAATTCGGGCGCTTTGGCATTACCGATTTCAAGTCTTGAGAGTAAACAACAATTGGGAATGGCGATATTGAAAGCGTCATTTGCAGAAAATTTATCAGGAGCAAGCAATGATTTGTTGATGTGTTTTGAAAGACGACACTCTTTTGGATTCTCATATACAGATATCAATCATCCTGTGCATGTATTTCATGGTACAAAAGATGATCGTATTCCCGTGTCAGCAGTAAAATGGATGGAAAGTAACATGCCAGATTGTAAGTTAACTTTGATAGAAGGCGGGAAACATTCATTACTTTTACGTGCTGAAATAGTTGACACAATATTTAAAACTATTGCCATACAACTACACGATAAGAATGAATGCAAGGCATGTAAACTTTCGTCAAAGTGTTGGTTGATGGGATGAAAATAAATTATTAATGTATTTTATTATTATCAAAAATGTATCATAATAGTGTACTTTTATACTGACTGTATTAATAATAATTTTGTTATTTCAAATTTAAAATATTTTAGTTTTACAATTAATTTTATCAAGAAAAAGATTGAAAATCTTTTATTCGTTCTTTATTTATTTTTTTTCTTTTATTTATTTATTAATTAAATGACGATGAATCGAAACTAATAATAATAAAATATCTTGCTTAATACGCGTGACATCATTCCAAAAATTTATCCCACTACCCATATCTTTTGTTTATTCTGTTCATGAAATAATAAAATAAAGAAATTGGCATATAATGAGCGACCAGTCGTTTTGCCATGATTGATAAACGGTCGTTGATTTTTAAAAAACCAATTATTGTTAATTTAAAATATATTATATCTCGAGCAAAATAATTTTATGGTCATACGACAAAGTCGCGCGAAGAAGTTGTAACACAAAAATATATTTTTTAAAAAAGATTGATAACAACAACATTATTTCTTTCTTTCTCGAATAATGACATCTGGCACCTGATGGTTTTTATTTCTAACTCTTCCTTTTCCTAAAGTAATAAAGTCTAATCCGACCCAGATCCTTAAGTTACTATAATGATGATGCAAATGCACACCGGTCTAGTGGTCAATTATTAAGAAGAAAGTCACAAAACAAATGCAGTTATGGTTAATTTATTATTTTAATATTGTGATGTTTGTTACCATTTAGCCATTCCTTGTTTCATTGAAAGAGACCAATTGCTTGTCCTGTGTTTGAGATATTGATATGCGAGTAGATTATTCTTTATGTAGCAGGCAAGTTAAGAAATTAATTCATTGCAAAAAAGAATTTTTCAATAATAAAATTTAGTCTATTTACAGTAGAATGAATGCATTGAAAATTTTCGAGATCAAGATCACCCTTGGCGGATAAATGTCATGATCCCCGCTTATAATCATTCGATTGAACTTGTCCACATAGAATCGTAATATATCTTGGTAATCACGACCTATAAAAAAATTCACTGTGGCTGGAAGTCTTTTATTTGCCACCTTCTTGTCCCAAAGATACAGACCATTGATACAGTCGCTAGCAGATTTAGGCTTGGTATCTTGTTATTTCTAGAAGTAGTAATAGAGAACAAGAAAATTCTGTTTATTCATTGTCTTTCTTTACGTACAAAAAAAAAACAATCACACCAAACAAATGACTAATTTTCTGTTTATGGTATGAATTTCGCAAACTCTTCTCTCAAAGCTAGTGTTTCAAAATCACCATTCATAACACAAATAATCTCAATTTTTGATTCAAGATAATGTTTGTCTTCTTAGTTGCATTCAAAAGACACGGTCCTATAAATATCCCTATGCGTGTCTGGTGTTTCTCCCAATCATCAAACGATCTATTAAAATACTCCAAGAATCCATTCAGAGCCTGTGCAAATGTCCGTGAACCCATTCCTTTTTATACTGCTTCAACTAGGATCGATTACTATTGTAAGGCCTTGCTCGCGTTTCTTGTATAGTGTTTGATGCAACACCCGCATTTCTATCGATATTAATATCTCGCCCTCCGAGTCTTTTTCGATTTTTCTGGTCTGGAGCTTTTCTTACGAAAATTTCTTAAAATATTGTACATACAATACAAATAAAGGTTTTTGTTAAAAAAAAAGGATACGGATGGATTCACTATATGTAATTTATTGCACAGTATATACAGAAAACACATTCTAATTAATCAATCTCATAATCGAGTTCGTTTTGTTATTTTTGTTTGTTGATTTGTCAGTTAGTTTTATTCCATAGTAGTGGTATTAGTAGCCATCAATAGAAGACGTTCAGTATAAACTTTATTTTGACGTCATATTATCACGTCCTAAATATGATCCATCACGTGAATTTAAATTTATTCGTTATTTTTTTTTTCAAATAAAAACGAGTTAATATTTAACGATGGATATGCACATACTTTATAATCGAACAAAATCTTTTACAACAGCAAAGAAAAAAAATGGTCTCATGGGATTACAGAGTATAAGGCAACACCTGAAACAGTTGGTGTATTTAATAAATAAATAAGCATGAATTATATATATATATATCTCGTGGAAGTAAAATAAAACGCGTCAAGTACTCGCAACTTTTTAGTTGGCACATGCAGGATTTTATTTCGATCGATCAAATCATCCACTAGATAATGTTATTTGTTTCATATGTGGCTGTTCGATAAAAGACGACGATCCTTTCCAGAAACATCAAGCCAGTTCACCTGATTGTCTGTGGGTTTTGTGTCGAAATTATCCAAATAACAAAGATAACAATACCGCTAATGAATCAACTTTGAATTGGGACGATAAGAATCAATGGCCAACATCAAAAAAATTAGAGAATGCTAGAATCAAAACTTTTGGTAATTGGTGGCCACATAAAGAAAAAAAACTGGACTGCGAGGTGATTAATAATTAAAAGACTATTTTATTAAAAATCGCATAAATTTATGCACACAAAAACATATTATCATTGTTTAGTTGGCAAAAGCTGGTTTCTATTATTACCCATTGTATAAAGGAGATGATAATGTAGTTTGTCCTTATTGCAATATAAGTTTAGAATGATGGGAACCTGGTGATGATGTGTAAGTAATTTTTAAAAATTATTAATCCAATAATAACAAATAATCATTTTTAACAAATTAAAAATGGGTTTAACTTGTTTCTCTCTCTTTAATTAAAATTAAAGAAAAGAACATGCTAAAAGATCTATTACTTGCTTATTTTTTGCTAAACCACCAAAATCAAAAAAATCAAAAGCACCAGCTACTCAACAAATTGCAGATAAACTGAAATTGAATGAATTTGGTGATGCTAGTTTGGTAAACATATTGAAATAGTTATTTTAATTCTTTAAAATGTGTATAACAATAATACTATTATTATTTTAAATGGATATTAGAATCAGGATGAACAAATGGATATTATTATTAGCAAAGACAATATTATTATTGGTAATGACGATATAGTTAAGAGCAATAATACCACTAACAATTGTGATATTGTTAGTAATGACAATATTATTTATGGTGGATGAAAATAATGATAATGTTCACTACCCCAACACTTTTCACTTCACCGATTCTATCAAAATTACCAACATTTTTCACTTCACCGATACTATCAAGATTACCAACATTGCTATCATCACCGACATTATCAAGATCACCAATAACATCAAATCAATCGCAAATTAAAAAATTTACCGTGGAAGATTATTTAAGAGATTTGGGCGAACAACAAGAAAAGAAGCTGGAAATTGAAATTGAAAAAATTATTGAAAAATTATTGAATGCTAAAAAAAAAGTAAAAGAAGAAATAATGCAAATTCAAGTCATATAAAGAAAAAAAACCAATATTGCGTATTTTATAAAATAAATTTTATGCACCTTGATCTCGTGAAACTTTAATTATTATGATGACGTCATTTATGGTTTTTTTTCAAAATCCAATGATTAAATTCCACATTGCTTAATCTGACATTTTATTAAATTTACAAAAAAAAGAGACCATTAGATCAAAAAAAAATTTTTATATTTTTATGATAGCAAGCATTTATAAGATCAATTTTGACGAGCCATTTAGTTGATTTAAAATTCTTTTATATATATACCCTGTTTCTTTTTTTTTATAGATTATCCCATGAAGCTTATTAACTCAAAATCAGTTAAAGATTCTGCTTTGTACATACGGAAACCATTAAAGTGGCATGGTTATGTATGGCCTTTTACGTGTCTATATATTGTGTGGCTTTATATATATACAAATGCATATGAAGAGTACTTGGGATCAGAGGAATGGACTTTTGTTACTTTTGGATGTCTGTTTACCATGAATGCATTGGTATTTTTGAGTTGTCAATGGAGCGTACAAGCAAGAGCATTTTTTACTTGTATAAAGGTAAAATTCTATTTATTATGGTTATGTATATTATGATTGATTATAATTAAACTTTTTAATATTATTTTTATTAGGAAAACAATATACAAAAGGCTAAAGCGATTAAAATAATTCCTGCGCTGCATAAAGGAAAAGGAGACTTGTGTGATCTTTATCATGCAGATGTATGATATCATATTTTCTTTTTTAATTTACTTGTTTGTATAGATATACACATGTGTGGTGGTGTGTGTATGTGTGTACGTGTGTGTGTTGCGTGCATTATTTTGAATTTATTTGGTTCCATCTATTTTTTTTTAGAACGGGGAAATATCTTTTACTTTTCAAAAGAAAAAATATGTTTGGGATCCTGATAAAAAAATTTTTAATAAATTAAGCTATCCTTGTGATGGAAATCCTCCAATTTCAATGTTTAAAAATGCCGAAGGATTTGTAATTGATGATGATATAAAATCGACTCTAGAAAAATACGGACAAAATCGGTAAATAAATAAATAGACAAATATAATATATATATATAAATTATTGATTTTTTATTTATCACTTGTAAAGAATTTATATCAATTAATAATTATTATTTGGTTTAGTTTTGATATACCTATACCAACTTTTCGTGAATTATTTAAAGAACACGCTGTTGCTCCTTTCTTCGTTTTTCAACTATTTTGTGTTGGATTATGGTTAATCGATGATTATTGGTATTATTCATTATTTACACTATTCATGTTGGTTGTATTTGAGTCCACGGTTGTTTTTCAGGTAATATACATCGTCATATTCAAACCATTTGTATTTATTATCATAAAATCAAACCAGATGCTTTAATAAGAAATATTCCCAAATCATGATATTTTTTATAGAGATTAAAAACTTTGGCCGAGTTTCGAACAATGTCTATCAAACCTTATTCTATTCAAGTTAGACGTAACAACTCATGGATTACAATTAATTCAGATGAAGTTTTACCGGGTGATCTGGTATCTGTTGGTAAACAATTATTTTATATGATTTGATTGTTTTTTTTTATATGGGTCTATTATTAATTAATCACCTTTTTTGTGTGGAAATATTTTTTGTTCAGTTCGTAGTAAGGAAGATAGCGGAATTGCTTGTGACATGGTACTTTTGAATGGTAGTTGTATCGTGAATGAAGCTATGCTTTCAGGTGAATCAACACCGTTATTGAAGGTTTGATTCTAACTTTTATTTACTTAGTTTAGTTGTCTTAAATATTAAGTATTTATATATAGATGATTTTATCGCATTTCAAATTTAGGAATCAATAGCACTTCGTGATAGCAGCGATCATTTAGATATGAATGGCATTGACAAGAATAGTATAATATTTGGTGGCACCAAAATTCTTCAGGTCACTCCACCGTCACCTGATGATTCATTAACAGGTAAATTACGAAATATATATTTTTTATTCTAAATTATAAGCATTATTAAAATCAAAGCATTGTCTTTGTATAGCCCCTGATAATGGATGTATTGCATATGTCATTCGTACTGGGTTTGGCACTGTTCAAGGGAAACTCGTACGCACAATGGTATACAGCACAGAGCACGTATCTGCCAATAATATAGAAACATTTTTATTTATATTATTCTTGTTGGTTTTTGCAATTTCAGCTGCTGGATACGTGTGCGTTAAAGGTGAAAATGATGATTAAAATGATGTTGAGACTATAATAGCAATATATAATATTCATTTATAATTCCTTGCATGTTTAAATTTAGGTGTTGAAAAAAATCGCAAGAAAACAAAATTATTATATGATTCTATTATAATTATAACATCAGTTGTACCACCAGAATTGCCCATGGAATTATCTTTGGCTGTTAACACGTCTTTGGTAGCATTAGCAAAATATGGTAAGAAAATAACATTTGTAATTTATAATTATATAAACCTTTATTTTTTATCATTTAAAAATAAATTATTGTTAATAACACTGTTTGATTTATAAACCCATAACAGCAATATATTGTACTGAGCCATTTAGAATTCCATTTGCTGGAAAACTTGATGTTTGTGCATTTGATAAAACGGGAACTTTGACTGGTGAAAGTCTTGTTGTAAGAGGAATAGCTGGTATTCAGTATGCAAATATATTTATTTATTTGTCAATTTTAAATAAATTATATTACACATTCATATTAATATTTATATATTAATATTTCAGTCCTAATGATCCAAAGGAATTAACTGATCCAAAAGATGCTTTAAGAGAGACTATTCAAACCTTAGCTGCTGCACATGCATTGGTTAAGTTAGATGATGGAATCGTTGGTGATCCTATGGAAAAAGCAACTTTAGAGGCATTAGATTGGAAGCTTGGAAATGGTAGCGATTTTGAAATTTGAAATTTTATTAACACATAATAAATACATTTACATATATCTTCCTTTTTTGAAAGGTGATACTGTTATACCTGCAAATAATCAATCTCAACGGTTTCAACAACGTTCCCAACTACAAATTTGTCGGCGATTTCAATTTTCATCAAAACTTAAACGTATGTCAAGTATTTCAACATTGAATATAAATCGTGGTAAAAAGACTTTTGTTGCAGTCAAAGGAGCACCTGAAACTCTTCATAGCATGTATGAATATGCACCTGATGATTACGAGGATACTTATAAATTCTTTACACGACGGGGCAATAGAGTATTAGCGTTAGGATATAAATATTTAAATGATAACATGAGTATTAAAGAGGTAGTGTTTGTTAATTTATAACTTTCAAACACTGAATTATTATATATATTTATTTATTTTTAAAACTCCTCTATATATAACGACAGGTTAATGACCTCACACGTGAATCAGTTGAATGTGACCTTAAATTTGCAGGATTTCTTATTTTTGATTGTCCATTAAAAGATGATGCAATTTCAACCATTAAAGTGTTAAATGAATCTTCACACAGGGTATGTATTTATTCCCGTTATTACTTGTGCTATTATTACTGCTACTGCTGCTGCTATTACTATTATTATTAAAATTTTAATTATACAAATATAGGTTATTATGATTACTGGTGATAATCCTTTGACAGCATGTCATGTTGCTCGCGAAGTTGAAATCATTAATCGTGAAGTATTAATTTTGGATCTTCGTAAAGATGAAGCTAGCGATGATGGTAAAATTATATTTTTGGGGTAATAAAAAATGTGTCTATATCCATTCGTATCTAATAGATATTTAATATTATTTTTATCTATTAGATATTATCTGGAAATCTATCGATGAAAAAACCATTATACAAGTTGATCCTTCAAAGAACATTGATCCAACAATACTTCAAAATTATGATATATGTGTGACAGGAGCAGCATTAGCGCAATTTGAAAATAGAAAATCAGTAAAAGACTTACTAGAACACACATGGGTTTATGCAAGGGTTTCACCTGGTCAAAAGGTGTGTGTATAAACAAATATAAATGGTTTCACAGATATAGATGCTTATATATATTTAATAATTTTTACCAACACACATGTTTGCTGTGGAATAATAGGAATTTATATTAACTGGACTTAAACAAGCAGGATATATAACATTGATGTGTGGTGATGGTACAAACGATGTTGGTGCATTGAAACAAGCGCACGTTGGAGTAGCACTTCTTGATGGCAAACCAGAAGATCTTAGAAAAATAGCTGAACATCAACGAATGCAACGATTAAAAGATATGTATGAAAATCAGTTAAAATTCACAGCCAAATTTAATATGCCGCCGCCGCCGCCACCACCAGCAATTGCACATTTATATCCAAACATAACACAACAACTTCAACAAAACACTAATAATAGAAGACCAAATCTACCGCAGGCACAGGTTTTGTGATATATTGTTTAGATTGCATATTTATACATGAGGGTCATTATAAAATCACATTTTTCATTAATTGTATATGTGCACATGAACATTTAGGTTGATAATATTACAGAACAGCTTCTTGATATGGAAGATGAACCGCCTACCATAAAATTGGGGGATGCATCAGTAGCAGCACCATTCACATCTAAACTTTCTAATGTTGTAGCCAGTAAGAATTGAATTTTAAATGCATTCAAATAAAATTTATATTAATTCATCTAATGCTTAATTAATGTATATTTGTAGTTTCAAATATTATTAGACAAGGAAGATGTACATTGGTTGCTACAATTCAAATGTATAAAATTCTGGCATTGAATTGTTTAATAACAGCATATAGTCTTAGTGTTTTATATTTGGAAGGAATTAAATATGGTGATTTGTAAGTAATACAGGGGAGAGATTGTGTGTGTGTGTATACATATATGTAATAGAATGATTACTAATACTTTTAATACTATTATTAATAAATATTTTATAGACAAGTAACAATTTCAGGAGTTTTGCTTGCAGTATGTTTCCTTTGTATATCAAAAGCCAAGGTAAATGTTTTATTATTATTTATAAACTAAAAATTTTTATGTTATTATTAATAACAATAGTGTACGGATCTAATTTTTTTTTTTAGCCTCTTGAAAATTTATCTAAACAACGACCTCAAACCAATGTATTCAACTTTTATATTATTTTATCAATTCTCGGACAATTCGCTATTCATATAGCCTCTTTAATATATGTTGTTGAGCTGGTATTTCGTTACGAGGAGTAAGTTAGAAATCAATATATCAATGAGTATTTTAGGTTCGAATTAAATGACTTAAAACTAATTAATAAAATAAATTAGACGTGTGGAATTTGATCCAGATCAAGAATCTGATCCAGAAAAAGAATTTGAACCGACATTGCTTAATACAGCAGTATATTTGATATCACTATCAATGCAAGTTTCTACATTTGCTATCAATTATCAGGTAAAATCATCACAACAAGTTATTATTTATCAGATATTTATACATAATAATATTTAATATATAATATTATTCATTTCTATATTTTATAGGGACATCCTTTTAGAGAAAGTTTACAAGAGAATACAACATTGTATTATGGATTGTGTACAGTTGCTGCCATAGTTGTCTCTTGTGCCACAGAGTTTGTACCTGAAGTTAATAGTATGTTACAACTTGTACCTATGAGTAAAGAGGTAAATTTTTTTTAATTGATTGATAATGTTGACTAAATTATTTATTAATCAAATTATTTATTAATCAAATTAATTATTAAATTCATCAATAGTTTAAAATTTCTCTCACAACAACTATATTGTTTAATTTTGGATTAGCGTGGCTAGTAGAATACGTTTCCAAATTTTTATTTGGAAACAATAAACCAAAACCAATCGCACAAAGATAGATTAGATAATAAATTTTTTTTAGAATAAATAAGAACTTTTTTCTTTAAAAAATTTTATTATTCTATATATATATATATATTTTACATAATTTTTTTAGATTTTTATTTAATATTGATAATATGTAATATGGAAGGTTATAGAAATTAGAAATTTTGCATAATTTATTTGTGCGACATTCTGATTGTTTACTATAATCCCAAATACGATTATTAACTAACTTCAGTTTTGACAAATATTTTTATTATTATAATTTTTGATTTTTGTTGAACTTATGTATGATGCGTGTACTTTTTCCTTTCCTTAATCAAAAACAACCAATTTTTTTTTACGAATCTTTGAGAAATGTAAAAAAAGAATTAGGGCTATGTTTTTTTTGGCAATTAACTTTCTCTTCAGACAAAAAAATGAGAAAATCGAATTTATGAAAAAAACCTTACACAATTGATCGGACCAAGTTATTTTTATTGTTTCAAAAGAAGCAAAGAATTGTCGTTGAAGGTGTACTCTAAAAAGGAATCGAACTTACCTATTAACTAATAATATCAAACGACGGTATTTTGTCTTGAAAACCGACCAGAGTACTTTGTGCAATGACCAACTGATGAGTCATTTTTGTGCATGACTATAGAAGAAACCCTACAACCGTTTATTTTCATATTCAAAGGCCTCACAGATGTAACTTGGTAAGTGAGCTACCCTTTTTTATGGATTACCTCTGTGCGACTGACTGTTTGATACCTGTTTCGGCTTGACAACAAAATACTTGGGGGTGAAATTTCGAGCCTGTAATCAGCCTACCGTCGAAATTCTAGCTGGTGGAGGGTAAAAAAACGATGGATCAGATCTCTTGTAAGTGTTCACGACAAAGAACTTCTAATATTTGAATTGTCTGGGGCACATGCTCGACTTCCAACTAAACACCCGGAAGGAAACTCTACCGGTACGTGGTGGGTGTACTTAACAACCTTCTTGAAGAATATTATAGATTTTGTGATTTGTGCTGGCTAAGGAACTCGAGGTATTTGGATTTCAGGCCAAAGATAAAAATTTACCCTTATGTTGGCGCAGTTTCCATCCGAAGAGTTTGAGGAGATTTCTCAAAAGTACTCTAAAGTTGTACCTAGAGTTAATTAATCAAAATAGTTTTTTTAAAATATGAAAAAGAATACAAAGACTACGAAATTACATAATCAATCCTCTTTTTAAAAGAACAACGAGTCCCTCAGCAAAAAAGATCGATCAATGTAACCAATAGCGATTATTATAGTTTCGACAAATCCATGCTCTAGGTTTATTAAAGTCAATAATTCTGACAAAAGAATTAGTAGATACGATAATGATGACAATTGTTTTTATGATGCAATGTGTTGTTTGTTATTTAATTTATTATCATTTAATTTTTATTTTATATATTTAGGTCAAAATTACAATAATATTAGGGGTATCTCTAATAAATTAGATAATTAATTGCAGAAGTCAAAAAAAATCGCGATGTCAACCACAACAATAATAATGATTACCAAGTAACAGAGGACACAAAAGTATAAATATAATCGTTAAATAATGATATTTAATAAAAATAATTTATTATATCGTTCATGTTGGATTCCTTGCACTTTGATAGCAAAACCCTAATGTTAATAGGGAATATCAAGTTGTAGTAGTCCTTGGGGACAGCTCAAATATGAGAAGCTCCTTATTGTCTATGCTGACAGCCTTCGGACTCAATCTGTTGTCTTTTGCCTTCCTCTAGCTGAAAGTTTCGTCGGGTAGCTGAAGATGTACTCGAAACTTCACCCGTATAACATTTGTTTTCAAGCCGAAACAAGTATCAAAACAGTCACCACACAAAGGCAATTCGCCAAAAAAAGGTGGTATACCTTTAGTATTGTGAGTATGTGTGATAAATGGGCGCGGAAAATAAAAACAGCCCTAACAGCAAAATCTCGATTTTCTGAGTTAATATACAATTATTCACAAGGTTTAATTCTAGCTTAGGAACTATACCCATTTTGCTTGGTAAAGTTTTGAGATGATATAAAATGAATGGGCAATAAAAAATGTTACGCCGTAAAAATGTGTGCTCTGGGGATAAATAAAGAATTATCATCACTGTATATATGTATATTGCAATGATGCAAGAAGAATAAATATCATAGGAAGTCTTAATTAAACGTATGAAAATAATTATACGAAACTACTTATTAAAAATAAAAAAGCTTCTTTTTTTTTTTACTATTACTTAATATTTATTCTTTTAATTATTACACATTGTAAAAATCAAACGCATTCGAATTGTCTTTAGCTCATGAGTTCAAAGCACACATAGGCAGGTCAATATTGGCATGTAGAGCAACATACATACGAGTTGTGTTAATTTTATATTTTTTTTCGAATTTTGACTTTAAAGTCAACCAACTATGCGTAATAATAATATTAATAATATGTTTGAGCTGTATTTAGTGTCTGAGTTTGAAACACACATAGGCTGGTCAATATTGGTACGTAAAACGACTTTTAGGTTTAAGTACAGATGTTTTGATTTTAAAAGTTTTTAAAAGTGATAAAAATAGTAAACAAAGAAAAAGAAGAATGAATCAATCACTAAAGTTTGATGATGAATTTTTGCTGATGTTAAAGTTGTTCTTTAAATAATGCAATTTTATCAATCCTATTACTGCGGGGAAATTTTAAAAGAGTACAGGAAAATATTTGTTACACGCCATTAAACACCAAGTCAAGTTTTAAATTTTAAATTTTTATATAATGTCATATAATAAATTATCATCATCGTTATTACCAGAAAGAAGGGAATTTTTATTTAAAATTATTAGTGAAATGATGAATAATGTTATAGTTAATTCTGATGAAGAAAGTAGTGATTATTTTTTTTCATTAGTTGAAAAAAACAAGGAGCTTTCTGAAATTGAAAAAAAATTTTGTAAAGAAAAGTTTACTTATGAGTTTGAAATAGTAAAGGCAACATATAAATCAGGCAAACCAAAAAAATGTAACAAGTGTAAATTTACAAGATACTCTGATAGATTCTGTGAAGGTTGTATTGGCTTACAATTACAGAGTCTTTTCACTACCTGGACATCTGGAAATAACATAATTGATGATTTTATTCAACAATGTCAAATGAAATCATCTCTGCCAAACTGTATTTTAGAATGGATACCTTTTGATCAATTTGAAAAAGTAACAAAGTTAACTGAAGGCGGATTTAGCTCAATTTATACTGCTGAATGGACAAGAGGACAAATAGTTGATTATGACGAAAATAAAAAAGAATTTAGTTATTTAGGAAGGCAACTAGTAGCATTAAAAAGTTTAAATAATTCAAGTAATCCAGGAAAAGGCTTTTTTGATGAGGTTAGTAGTTGTCATTTAAAACAGTATTGTGTGTATACTGTATTAATTGATTTTATATTCAATTTCAGGCAATGAATTATTGTAAAATTAAATCAGTATTGATTGTTGAATGCTTTGGTATAACTAAATTCCCAAATAATGGAAATTATGCAATAGTTTTAAATTATAGACCAGAAGGAAGTTTAAGGGGTTATTTGCAAAAAAATCATTTAACATTAAAAGACAGGATTACAATCTTTGCTTATTTATGTTGTGCATTAGATTATATGCATGAAAAAGATTTCATCCATTGTGATTTACATAGTGGTAATATACTTATGGAAGGAGGAGGTATTTGTTATATTACAGATTTGGGATTATGTGGACCAGTTGATGAAAAGTCATCAGATAAAGTCTATGGAATTGTATCATATGTTGC